ATGTTTCCTCAGCAGTGCTGAGATGTCCAAGTGAGTCAGGTCTGTCCAACTCACATCATGGGAGGAGCTACCTGGGACAGAAGAGTTTTCCTCCCCAGGGGGAACACTGAGAGTTACCTGAGACAGAAGAGTTTTCTTCCCCGGGGGGAACACTCAGTCAGTGCAGAGAGGAAAAGGCAGCAGCCCCGGGCAGAACTGAGAGAACACCTGCAGCCCTGTGGCCTTCCTGGTGCAGGGTTACCAGGCTCACATAAATCCTCCCCAGCCCTGAAGGGTTGCACTGGGGGATACACCTGAGCCACAGGGAGCATCTCTGCTGTGATCGTGATCTGGTTACCAGCAAAGATCTCCTGACATGCAATTCCCCTTTTATCCTGGTTGAAAACAAAGCTTTTGAGGCCTGTGAGGAATGAAGGGTTTGGATGGAGAAGCTCTGTAAGGAGTGTCAGAAGGGAGCAGCAGACCCAGGGATGTGATGAGTCTCTTCTTTCCTGGGTTTGTTTCCATTTGGTGATGGAAAAGCTTTGGGGGTGTGACACACACACCTTGTTCTGATGTTAAACATCTCTCTGGATGACACAGGGGCACTTCTGGGTTTGCACACAGGGAACTTCCCCAGCACCCAAATAACCATTCTTTGTCTGCCCACCTCCTGGATAAAGTGCAGAGATGAGCTTCTGAGGGAAAATATAGGTTAAAATAAATAAATAAAAATATAACAATCATTCCATTCCATTCTTTTAGAAATAAAGAGAGAAATGGGCTGTGAAATCACTTACAGCAGTGATTTCATTTGGCATCATTTCCACAGAGCAAGTGTAGGTCCACTTCTGGCAGTGTTCAAGGATTAGCAGTGCCAGCCACAAAAAGAAACCACTTCACAAACTCTTCTGGCACCTCAGCTGAAGTTACAGCAGCCTCCTCCCTGAAATCACCACTAAATCAGTAATACAGAAAAAGTGCTCTGCAGCCACAGCTTCCTCCCAGAGAGCTTTGATAGCATCACTGCAATAACTCCGGCATTTGTAGTGCTTGGTCAAGAGTGAAGGCAGGCTGGAGAGTTGGTTTATCACTGCTGAAATAGAACTGCTCCTCGCTCCCACCAAAGTGCTTTATGTGAGATCAAGCTTGTGATTTCTGAAAAACTAAATGCAGGGTTTTTGAACCCTGCTGTACCTCCTGGAACTGCAGACCTGACTCATCAGAAGTTCTCATGAGAAACATCAAATCAAAAGCACCAATCACAAGGATAACATCAACCAGCACAAACTCTTGTGCGGTGATTTTAAAATAAAATCTTTCTTTTCACTCTTCTATTACCTTTCACTTCAACTAGAGCCTCACTGCTGCTTCCACTAGGCAAGAAAATCCAAAATGCCAGGGAGGTGACAACTGAAGCACATAGAGCTGGAGTCTCCTACCAGAGAAACACAAAAATCAGTCATTAAAGGCAGACTTATTAATTTCATTTTTAAATGCACTTAAGCAGCTTAGTGCCTAACATAGACATCAATCCCAAAACTCCACAGAGAATACAGAGCCCAGCTCTGGGAATGCCAAACACACAGATCCAAAGGTAACTCCAGCACTGTTCACAGGGCAATGAGCTCTTGTCACCTTTTAGAGCTGCAGAAAAGATGCCAAGGTACCAACCCTGGGCCAGGAATAATTCTGCTTACCATTTCCTCAACTCCAATCAGAAAATAAAGGCATTAAAAGCAGTTTCTTCCAAAAAATATCCTTTATTGTTTTGGTTGTAAATATAAAAAACGCATTGCACAATTTAACAGACCTACTGGAAAGTGCTACATATCAACAGCACAACAGAAGTTGTCATGCAACAGAACAGGAAACCTAAGCAAAGCAAGAGCACAACCTGAAGTCCTCATACCTTCAAGCTTTTTTTTGTCATTTTTTCTTAACAAGAATGAATTCCATTCACTTAAAACACATTTAAATACAAGGTTAGAAGAAGAAAACAATCTATTTATTCATTGTATTGTTAAAAGGCTTGCTCATAACATTGATATCTTTTGACTGAAAACCTTATTCATGTTGGAAAAGTTCAGATATAAAAAGTTCAGACAGTGGCTAGAAATGAATTCCATTATATACCAAAGGTGTGTTTCATTGTAACTGAAGTTCCTGTAATTGTAACTGAAGAACTCAAGTTTTACAGAAAAAGCTACAGTTTGGTTCTACCACTTCTGCTTTACACAGTATAGGAGCAGAAAATCCAACCAAGAATGAAACCAGAGAAAACTTTAACTCATGTTGTGGAAAATATATTGGGGTCCTATTAAAAAAAAAACCCAAACCAAATAATCTCCTCTGCAACTCAAGTGTATAAATTGAGGAGTAACAGAAAAACTCCTGATGTCTCACCTAATTTAAAAAACTCCTAAAAATTATCAACAATTGTCTACAGTCCTCCAGACTGGTGTGACTGAATCCCTAAAGAACCTGAACTGGATGTCATCAGCCTTTTGTTTTTTGGTGGTTTTCCATGCAATAAAGGTAGGAAGGAACAAAAAAATTAGAAAGAAAAAGGAGAAAACAGTGAAAAACTCATTCAATTTTCAGCAGTACTTTCTAGCTGACAACATCAAGGCAAGAACTATCCATTCCAGAAACTGAGAAAGTGAAACAGCCTTCAAGTAAGCATTATCTTACTGAACATTTCTGCAGTGAGCTTCCCTCTCCTGTTCTCAAACTCCTTTTTAGGAGTTTTGGGCTTTAAAAGCAAACAAAACTAAATTTACCTGTCCCTGTCCCTTCCACCACGTGTGAATACACACACACGGAGGAATGTAAAAAAACCTGAAGATACAAATGCAGGTTTCCAATACATTTGATAGCCTTTTGTCCTTTCAAAGACATCTTTTTCTGTCTCAGATGTGGAGGTTTAAGGCCTTGCCTGTTTGCTGGGTTTGGCAGAGCAGAGATTATGTCCATGTGTGCACAAGTGCTCCTGCACATGGCAGTGCAGAGGGGTGGTGGATTCAGCAGGGAAAATGCAATTTTTTCCAAACACAGAAACAGTTACTCACAACCTCAGTCTGAAAGAGTCACAGCAATGCCACACAGATAAAAACCTGTAAAAAGCCAGGGAAGCCCCATCTCCTCCATTCTCTGAATTTTCCACACAGCATCACTTTAGGGGGAACAATGGATGACTTATGATTAGTCAAATGCACACAGGACACCAAGATCTAAGGCACAGATGGAAACATTCTGGTAGCTCCCTCTTTCAAGGAATCCCTCCCCAGGGCTCTAGAAAAGCATGGAAGAACATTCCAGTCAGGTCAAATGGTATTAACCAAGAATCCTTTGGTTTTGTGCAGAGATCAGACTGTCATGGTGAAGCGTGCACTTGTCTCTGATCCTCCTCCTCAGAAATTCCTTCAATTCAAGTTTGTTCCTGGACCTTCACCCCTTACTCCTCCTGCTAAAAGGAGGCCAACAACTACAATACAAGCTAATAACTACACCAGATCATGCCCCAGTTCTCCAGAATTTGTCTTTGGGGTGGGGCCATCCACAATATACCAATTAATACAATTGGAGGTCAGAAGGAACCAGCAGACAATCCCATTTTGACTTTGTGCATATCACAGGCCATAAATAAGTTATTTAGCCACTCCTTTGCTGAGTGAAACATGTTGGATTTGACAGAATACAACTTGTATTCAGTTATCTGGGGGTTCTCCAAAAGTTTAGCACCAGACAGATGTGCAGCACCTGCAATTCTGTGCAGACTTTAGGCACTGTGTGTTTGGCTTGCTTACTTTGGTGACACTGAGGAAATCAGAGTGCTTAAATTACAAAACTTTGAAAAACAATAAAGTATTTAAATTCCTCCATGGGTAAGAAAGAAAGACTAAGGTCTTTAAACATAAATCAAAGTGGAAAACTATGCAGGAACTAATACATACGTGGTCCATCTCTTTCCATACCAATCTTTAGTGGTTCTACTGCTCAGATGTGAGACATAAACCAGCTTTTATCCTCCTGTGTTTCCAAATGAAGTGAAATCACTCTCCTCACAAGGCTGACTGATAAAAGAATTCTGATCTGCAATAACAGGGTGACAAGAACATACTGAATCACTGCTTCAAAGAGCAGCCACATCATTTCTGCTAATTGCACTAGTGGAAAGTATCTTTCCACTTTTCCTTTCCTCCCTTCTACACTCTTGCCTAAGTAGGAAATACTTAATTTTTTTCTCTTAAAGTTTTGCAGTTTTTTAATAGTGCTTTGAGTTTGTTTCTGCATCACAATTTGTTAAACAAGCACCTCCCCTCCAATTGTAACCAGCTCATGGTGCAATCTGATGATGAGCTTTCTATCCACATCAAAACTGTGAATGGACAAAGTTTTTGGCAGTTCAGGTGAATTACCTCTGCTGATCCTTTAGGGTTGCTTTCAGTTTCCAATCCATTCTGTGAGAGCTGGGATGTCAGGGTCTCAGTCCTCAGATCCCCCTGGCCCTGAGGGGTGATTGTACTGCACTGTGATCGTTGGGACAGAACTCCCACGTCATCGATACCAGAAATGGAGAAAATCACACACCATCACTGCTGACAGGCAGGGGAGGCATTAGAGAATCTGCTCATCTGAAAAGGTCAGCAAAAACTCTTGGACAATGTGCCTGCTGCCTTCTTGCTAGAAACCCACACATGTTCTGAACAGACAGTGAGGTCCCTTCCAAGGAAAGGACATAAGGGACATCCCCAGCTCATCACAGTGTAAAATTATTTTACTGAAGTCAAATTCACAACTAGTGATAAAAATAGGAGGATTGAAAGCACTGATTCAAAAAATGATTAACTTATTTAACACTTCTTACCCAGATGTATCCAAAAGAATATTGCTTAATTGATTACAGCATAATGAAAGATCTGGGAATGGATCCCTCCCGAAAATCTACTCACTATTTAATTACTGTGACAACCTTTACACACCATTCCTTGGCTGAGACTTGAAATTTTGTTGGGACACAGGTTTTCACATGTGCCACAAACTTCAAGTTATTTGTCAAATCTACTGTAAAAAAAGAGAAAGAAAAGCATGTTTCTCTCTGCCTGCACAGAGGAGCTGTGTTGGTACAAAACTGCCATTCTGCCTTCCCCTTCAGTCCTCAGTCCCTCCATGCAGGGAGAGGCTCACCTTTTGTGCCTTGTCCTTCCTACAGTGCTGCTCTCCCAGAAGGGAAGGAAAAGCTTTTTTCTGCAAGAAAAGCCATTAGCTGCAAGAACTCAGGACAAAGGAGAAACAAGAACAAAACCTCCACCTGTGCTCAGCCCTACTCCCCATGACCATTGTTACCTTCCAAACTCTGGCCCACCAAGTGGAGGAGAATGGGGACAATGCTGAGAAAAGCTCCCTTCCCCAAGGAGAACCTACTGAGCCCATTTCAGAGTGTGCAAGCCCCAAGTGCTCCAGTTATTCCTCATTTTCGCACTGTGAGAGGCTGCACAGTACCTCCAGCCTGCCCTTGGAACTGGAAGAAAACTGCTCAAGGGAGGTGTTCCCACCTTTGCAGAGCTCTGAACAATCAGGATCAAGTCATGAGTGGAATTACAGGGGTCATGGGATCATCCAGACTTTGAACAATCAGCAGGAATGAACACCCCAGTGCTGTCCCAGGATGGACAATCACTGCTGGAACAGGACTCAGTTTACCTGCAGCAGAGCACAGGATGTGCTGAGATTGTCACAGAAAAATGTTATGCAGTATTTTGACTTTTAAACTTATTTTTACATGTTCTATAACTCATGTTGAACAGAACCTTCCCATACAGACCAGGCCTATAAAGTCCTTCAGGTTTTTCAGACAGAAGGCAAAAAGAAGCAGCAAAAAAAAGACAAAGAAGCAAAGAACTGACTGCAAGTCTGTGTGGTTTGATATAGCTTCTGAGATAATAAAATAAAAAAGCCAATTTTTTAACATTACAAACTCAATTCTTGTCTCTGAAGTGCTACTACATTTACCTATGGATGTGTTTTATATGTGCACATTTTGTGAGAATGGCAGCTGAACTGTGCAGAGTGCAAGAAAACAGTTAACTGATTAAACTGATATAAATTCATGGCATTTATCCTAATTGCAGAATTTATACAATCTAAAACTGCTTTCTTGCACTTACTGCACAGCCTGCTACTCCCTTGCAATGGCTATATAAAAAAAATAAAAATCAGCTACTTTATTTACTAGAAAATAAAGCACGTCTTGAAACTGATCAAATGCAATGATACACTCATTAAAATAAAAATACACAAAACACAGCCTGAGATTTTAATTCTAGTATTTTTGCCATGAGTTGACATCACTGAAAGATTTTTCTTCTCCTTTGGTTTTTCATATGATCCTGTTTAACAATTTTCACTATTCAAGTAAAACATATGGAACCAAATACCAGAGAACAAAATAAAAAGCACGTTTTGCTTCATGAAATCAGAAGTATTTTTTCCCCTTGAAGAGCACATTCCTTGGTGCACAGGATTTACACTTCAGAGAACTGAGGGCGTTCCATTAGTTGCATAAGGATGCATTGATGGAGATCTATTGCTGCCTGCAGGGCTCAAACCTGCTGAGTTTACCTGAGCTTGGTGGTTTTTTCTCACTGACAGAGCACAGCACAGCACTGGAGAGGAACCCAAACATTCTGACAACGCTGCATCACCTGCACCTCTTCGCAAGGCAGGGCCGGGTGCCTTGAACAACGTCTCTGGTGATGGAGAGAATCCTTTCTAAAGTGCACTGACTGGAGGAGCCTGGGCAGGCAGGGCCTGGCAGGGTCTCCACCCCTGGGACAAGCACCTCAGTGTCTTTGGCTGTTAGGTGTCCCCAGCTCTCTTGTTCACCTTCGTCACGGCCTCGCGCGCCTGCTCCGGCAGCCGCTGCGGGTCCGACAGGATCGAGGTGCTCCTGCTCAGCTGCCGCAGGGTGTTCAGCACCGCTAGGGAAAAAAAAGGGCAGGAAAGCATCAGGAAAAGCTATTAATCTGACTGATCTCTCTTCTGCAAAACAGAGCAACCCTTGACAGCTATAAATGTAAATTAAATACTTGTGAAAGGCAAGAGGGAATGAATCAAGCAGTGAGTCCCAAACAGAAGGTCACTCCAAAGCTAAATACAAATCTCAGAGGTCTTCCCTCATTATGAGATAAATCACACTGCCAAACATACTCCATCCAGGGCCAAGCCTTTGAAATTTAAATGTAGTTAAAGAGTTTTAAATTCTGGTATATTCAACAGTTTTTTTCTGTCTTCACAGTCAGAAGAGGCTCTTGTTTTTTCACTGAGCTAACAAAAAGGAAGCGAAAGCCACATTCAGCATCATGTGCTTTCTCTGTCATAATCTGACTTTTAAGAAATGCTATTATATCTTACTTTCTGTGATCTGAAGAACTGTTGGATGGAACCTCACTTACTTGGCCTCAGAACAGGAAGAGAACAGTGCTGATCCAACCAGGCCAGCGCAGTTTCATTCAGATCCTTAAAGCTTGTTGTGGAAACCATCCCATTGAAGGACTCAAACAATGGCTTAATAATAATGCTGAACTGCAAACCACCAAATGTTAAGGGAGACAACAAAGGGGGAGTTCAAGGCATTCTATGGGAAAGGCTATGGCAGAGAAAACACTGGATTTCTAAATGGACTTCAACTGCCAGAGGGATTGCAATGAGAAAAAAATTGAACCCTAGTTCCTAGTGATATTCACTATATTTTGCAAAATTCCTCCACACAGACCTGAAGAGGAAAAAAGGAGAAGGGAACGTGCAAGTTTTTGAACAGCTTCAGTAACGGTAATTTTTCTTCCCCTGAAATCTTTGCTATTGTCTATGTACATTTCCCAGAAGCCAAATAGAGCTGCAGTTACAGCAGAGTCCACAAAAGATTTCTTGCAGAACAATAACCTAGCAAGAAAACCTTGCCTCTGCATTGCCTTTTACTTTGCAGTTACCTCCCACACATTGAGGTGAACAAGGTGTGCAAGAATCCATATCCACACACAGATGTGGATGAAAACTGAGGACATTTACTATTTAAGTAACTCAGCTTAAAGTCACAGCATCAGAATCCCAAGTTCTTGGCTCTAAAAATACCAGTGCCAAAGCCCAAGTTGCTCAGGTTGGTATAAAAGGATACAATCCAAAACTTCCAGTTCTGCAGGGTCCTGCTCCTTACGTACTCATCAAACATCTTCCTCATGTGGTCAAACCTCTGCCGCGTTACGGGAACCCCGGTAGCAGGGAGCTGCTGCTGGCAAGAACTGAGATGATGTTTGGAGGTCAGAGTCTCACCAAAAAGGACACATTTCTCTTCCAGACTAAACTGCAGCAGGAGAAAAATGTGTATTTCTGGTATCACTGGTGGAGGGGCTTCCCAGTGCATGATTCCCCCAGAGTGTAACTGCTCCAGTCAGGAATAAAAACTGTTTTCCCAACAATAAAAACTGTTTTCCCAAAACTGTTTTTGTCTATATTCATGCAGCAAAGTCATTTATCAAGCTGCTACAAAAACTTCTGGTTACAAACAACAAAACTGAAAACAAAGTATAGCATAGAAAAAAGTAATTTTGGGCATCCCTTAAGGACAAGGTACATTAGGAGTCAAGGAAAAATTTACAGTTACTCCTAAGCAATGGTACAGAAGAAAATGTAATGGAGATTCTTATAAAACAGACCAATTTAAACTAAAACTAAGAAAACTTGATTATATTTTGCAAGAAAAATTAAAATATTTTGATTTACTGCTAATTTTAACATCATGCCTAAGCCTAAAATTTCTGCAAGATGGAAGTAAAGCCAGTGCAGTTCTCAATGTGCTTTGCACCAGTACAAAATCATTAACCCACAGACCAAACTGAGGCACTTCACAGGGAAGGTGAAGTGATTTATCATCAATTATGTTCAGCCAGTGGCAAACTCCTGGAGCCCAAGTTCTGTGTCTTATGTACTCAATCACAATATTCTATAAAAACTGACTGCATTTAAGAAGAAAACTGCAGCAAAGCCATTGTGAAGAGTAAGAGTTCAATCATCAATGAGCTTTATAAAAACATCCTAGCTGAATTCTTCCCAGAACTATTCTGACACATCCTCCCTGATGCTGCCACTGTTGTGCATTCCGTGCTCAGAGCTTGCTGAAACTCCACACAGTTTGCACCAGTGCCCACCCCACAGCAGCTCTGCTCTGTCCAACCCCCATCTGCTCCCTGGTGTGGCACTGAGCACCCCCTCCCTGCTGTCTGGCACCACCGGAGCTGCTGCTCCGGCCCTGGGAGTTCCCGTTCTCACAGGATGGTGGCGTTCAGCTCCTCGATCTCCTCCCGGAGCCGCCTGGTCTCCTCCTGCATCTGGCTCCTCTCCTGCTGCAGCTTGGCGATGTATTCCACTGTCTTCTGCAGAGTGATGGCGTGGCTGATCTAGGCCAAACAGACACACAGCTCAATTCCTGCAATCACCTGAGCTCATGAAGAGTTTGTCCTCCTAACCTGCACTCCAGCACCTTTTCATTTCCCTTCACTGTGTGTAAAAGCACAGGGCCAGGCAGAGCAAAACACTTCAGATACTCAACTCTGCATTTCTCTGAATCCCCTTCAAACTCCAGCACAAAGAAATGTGGCTGTAGGGGTTGTTTTCTTCCATAAATTACAATTCTGCTACTTTGTTGAAAGAAGTATTTTAATAATTTAAAATGTTTTATTCCATTATCTATCCTCTTAAAAATATTTACAGTTTTACTTAAGTAGTGAAGTATGTGCTACATCTCCAGATAGATTTATAGTGCTGGTAGAAGCGCTGCTTTAAGTTCACAATATAAATTATTTAGTTTGGGAAACCTGGAGTTTTTAAATAGAAGGACCCATCAAAGGAGATAATAATACTCTTCAGTTTGGAGGAACCAATTAAAAATCTGTACTTGAGAAATAAAATAACCAGACATTTCAGTAAAGCTGAGTTTTCAAAAAGGACTTCCTTTCAAATAGGCTATTCAAGCCAGGAAGTGAAATTCTGACAACATAGCACCTAAATTTCTGAAACTATAAAAATTATAAAAACAAATCAACATGTTGCACAAAAAGCTTTCATATTTTGCAGGTTTCAAAGCCACTGGTATTTAAAGAACACTAAAAATTTTGCTGTACAGCTACATCTGTATTTCAATTTAGTGAACTAAGTTGACTGGTGTAGCCAGAGTAAGTTTTTCATCTAGACAGTCATTGCACAATGAGAAATCAGTTGGGAATTTTTTTTCTCTGTGAACCCAAGCACAAGTGACAGGTGAAAGGGGGGAAAAAGGCTCTGAGTCTTAAAGATAGCTGGGTGGTGAAAAGAGTCCTAATGAGATTTTCCAAATCATCTGAACTGACCATGCTGGGAGGCAGAGATCTCAATGGCGTGGAAATCCTAGGAATTTACCTGAGCTTTTCCATTTTACCTCTGCTCACTGCTGTGAGCACAGAGCAGTGTGTTCTCTGCTGTGCTCAGCTGTACTCAGCAGTGAAATCACTGCATTTATTAACAAGACTTTTGGAATGGATCTTTCTTCCATTTCACATCAAACCAAGTGCTGCTGCAGTACTTACCGACTTGGAGTTGGCTGACACCAAGCTGTTCAGAGCACTGAAACCAATCTTGATATTAGACCTCCGTTTTTGTTCTGAAAGATGCCTCATCCTCCGATTCTGCATAAATAAAACCAGCTCAGTCTGTGCTGTTCTCATTACTGTTCTACTGCTATGACTATTTCAGCTACTCAATTCAGTGTCATTTTTGTTGACTTGCTGGCATTCATGGCTCACCTGGAACAACTCCACAATCTTAATAATGAATTGACAGTGTGTTTGTGGACCAACCCACCTCTGACACCTGCACCTATTCTAAGCATCACATGCCAGGATGGCAAGGAGAAAATATGAAAGATATTATATCACCTGGAGGTTCTAGGCTTGTACAGTATGCACATGATTTGTTACTTGCCAGCAAGGCACACAAATGTTTGAAAGATTCCATTTGTCTGTGGAGTGCTTTAGCAGAAAGTAAAGGACATCCCACATATCTTTCTAAGCTTCAGCTGTGTAATCAGGAAGTAAAATATTTAGGATTTATATTAACAAAAGAACAAAGATCAGTAGACCCAGAGCTGGTCCAGGCTGTGACAAAAATACCTCACAATCAGTAACAAAGAAAACAACTGGCAGGACTTTTTAGGCACAGGAAGATCCTGCAGCCCCTGGATCCCAGGGCTGGGAAGCTACCTAAACATTGACAGGAGCTCCCAGGGTTGGTGCCAACAGAAAGAAAAGAAAAGGAGCTCTAGTTTCTGCTTGGGCACTGGGAATACCAGATTATTCCAAGGCTCTGAGCTGCTGAGGACAAAGGAGCAGCCGGCAGATCCCTTCCCAAAGCTGGGGCCACACCGCCGCCCTGTGGCTCCTGCCCAGCTCAGCTGGAGCCTGGAGCAGCCAGGGATCGTCCCTGGGATGGTTACACTGTCACAGCCACAGCAGAGACACACAGAAAGCATCCAGGAAGGAACAAAACGACTCCAGATACAACTCTGAAAATCCCCACTCCACACAGAGCTGTGTGCCAGGCGTGTGAAGGAGGCGCAGAGACCAAAACTGAAACAGCCCAGGGATTTCTTTGTTCCGAGTCCCTCTCTTGCAGGAGCAGCCCAAGTTGCTCCTTTACTCAATTACTGCTTTTTCCTGGGAGTCTACCACAGGAAACCTGGGATGAAGGAACTTCTTTAACAGAGTTTGCACTTCGAAAACACATTCCTGGAACGGTGAGGCTTTCTGGCAGCAGCTCATCATCACCCTACTTTATAGTGGAGGAAAGCAATGTAATAAAGCAGTGAAGTGGTTGCCCAAAACCACAGAAAATGCAGGTTCATGAGCAGGACTGAGATTTCCAGTGCACTACATGCTTTGCCAAACTGAAACAGCCATGTTACCTAGCAATACAGAACTGTTTAATCTAACTTGACAATACAGAGGAACAAAAGCACATGCATCTGAAGCCTGGCAAATATCACTGTTTCTCCCTTGTCTTACAAAAGAGTTACTAACAGTACATATTCAAAGCAATTCCTGTGAGAGCAGGTGTGTTTACATGGCTGCAAAGCTGTGTCTTTGCTTTTCCATCTAGTGACCACTTTCCCACCATCAGCCAGCTCTACTAATTTGTTCCTTTGTTACCTTACTCTAGCAGCAGAACAGGCTGTATCCAGGGCTTGTGAGCTCTCATGCCAAGCAAATCCCTGCCAGCTTTTCTGAGTAACTTGCAGCATGGCCAGCAAGGGGCAGTTCTGATTGTCCTCTGCAACAGATCTAGACCTGAGTTTAGTCACAGGCTGCAGGTGTTAAACTTACCTTTCTGCCCTAGAGTAACCACACTGCCGCCAACTCACAGGGTACACAGAGCCAGAAGGGGGCTGGCACTTGCAGAACTGTTAAGTAATGCTCCCTCCCACAACAAAATAAATGAGAGAGTTACAGCTGATTGTTCTGCTGGGGTTTTCATGGAGAAGTTTCTCATACCACCACAGAAAGTGTTCTGACAAGGTCAGCTGTGTGTGAGGCACAACCAGCACTCGGGTGCTATCTCCAGACCTCCCAGTTCTTACCCCAGTGACGCTCCAAGGGTTTTACAGGTGTAACTCGTAGAGTCTGTGGAGCTGCTTCTCTGTGGAGCAGCAAAGCATCACTGGAAACATGTAAGTAACTCAGCAGGTCAAGAACTCCCCCTCCAGTGATGGCCAGAGCCCTGCAGACTGAAGAGCCCCAACAGAACAATGGCAAAAAGCCACAGTTTAGAACACTAAGCCTGAAACCTTTGACAAGTGAACTGACACCTGTCACAACACTCCTGAGAGCCACAGCAGGAACTGCTGTCATGACCATAAGGACCTGCAGAGGTACAGCTAAGCCTGGCCCCTCTGGTGACACATCCCTGAGGAGCAGAGTAGATTAGAGTCTGACATTTTGGACTGCACAGAGCAGCACAGATGCAGCAGCAAGCAAAGCTTGCCACACAATGCTACTGTCCTGAAGCACAACTTTCTCTAGCTATGCTCAGACATTAGGACAGAAAAGCAGCTATGAAAAATAAAAGCCCCTCAAAGAAAAGGACACACACCTTAAGTGCAGCCACAGCAGGGTCAGTGGCAGGTTTTCCTGAGCAGCTGTTCTGAGGAGACTGTGGGCTGGGGCTCTGCTCAGAGGTGCAGGGGGAAGCCTGGCCTGAATTCTGACAGTCCCGGCCTTCAGAAAGGAAAAAACACAAGACACATTAACAAACAACTTTGTGTAGCAAATATAATTGCTGAGAAGTTTCTACTCAGAATTGAACTGAAATGCAGTCAGCAACCAAATTACACTGTTTGATGCAGCAACCACATGCTAGAGAACATCAGGACTGCTGGTAAAGCTGAGGACATCATGTCACATGACACATCCTGAATAGCAAGATGTAATTGTCCTTCCACACACATATTTCAGCACAGGCATGTTGGATGCACAGGATGTGACTCCATTGTCCTGCTGGGCTCCCCCATTTGTCTCTAAGGCCTGGGACATGATGGTGACACTTACAAGCCACTGACCACCAGAACCAGCCCAGGGAACGCTCCACCGATGCACATGCAAAAGGAGTCTTTGCACTTACCTACAAGGATTGTGTCTGAGATCCTCCAGTCAAAATCAGAGCTATGACACTGAACAACAAACCTATTCAGCACTTCCTACACAGATGCCTTTCATCTCTTGGTGACTACGACAGCATATCCTTTTAGAAAGGAGCCACTCACAGGAAACACAAAATCACAGTTTGTGGAGATGCTGCACAGTCATTTAAGACAAGAATTGGAAACTACTGGATGCAACTGAAGCTGTGGGGTAGACGGGCCTGAAAAGCTTTCCCTTCAAAAATTATCCAGAGCTCCTCAAGGCCTATTTACACCCTGCCTACCCAACAGAAACACTTCCACGTGCAGGGGAGAGAATGCTTACAGCTTTCTAACTTACTAGGTGTAGGTGAGGGAACTTGTGAACTGCTACAGTGAGAAGGGATGTGCTCTCCTTTCACCAACACATCTTGGACTACACTAGGAGGAAAGAGATGTGAGACTGTGGACTGGCTTTGTTGACTACTTGGTGCTCGCTGTGCTGGACCAACCAGAATGTTACTACGGAACTCCGTCACCCCGGGAGCCTGGGAACAGCACAGAGACAGCACAGAGAAACACAGAGAGAAAGAGCAGGAGGGGCAGAGGGAGAGAAGGGAAGAGAGAAAGGACAAAGTGGGGGGGAGAGATTAAGAAAGAAAAAGAGAGAAAGAGAGATTTGTTACCTTGCCTTTTACTAAAAGTAGCAAATTAATACATGATTAACAATCTGATGACATGAAACAAGGGCTAATATATAAGGAATTGGCAGGCACCAAAGTCAGGCTTCTGGCAGGAGACCAATATCCTTTCATAACTTAAAGTAGTATTACAACACATCAACAGCATAACATACTAAAATCTATCTCCATCTTCCTGCACACAACATATTGGGGAAACCCACTCACATCCCCAAGGCATGTTTGCCAATACGGCAGTGGAAAGGTGAGCTCCCTGGGCTCCTTCCAGCTTCTGCACAGTTAAAGCACAAACCATCCCCATCCACAGCACCGTGAGTGCAGGCCTCCTTGGAATCTTACTGTTGTGTGAGACAGAGCCTGTCAAGACTATAAAGTGCTTCCAAGCCCATGAAGTGGCTACATTAAAAACAAGCAAACATAAAGTTGAATGCACAAATGCATACATTGGGTAACAGATGATTTACTGGACTTGTTACCCGCCTGAGCACATTATGGCTCTGACTACTTTCAAATAACAGGCCTAGAAAACAAATATATAATTTTTTTAATCTTCTCCTTACTCTGACAATTCCAGCTGGTGCAATTGCAACATTAGACTGAGACGTGGCTGGCGTCAAAATCCCCTCTCTTTTTAAAGGTGCTGGAGTTACAATCACAGCTCTGGACTGTCCCTGAAAGGCAGCTGAAGAACACAATTCAGTTAGAATAGTTAATGATACAAAAAAAAGATGGAAATTACTTTGTATGAAATAACTTGTCATTAAACACGGGCACGGATCAATGGGCATCTATTTGCTACTATGTCACTGCAGTATAAAATGCCACCAAGTCTTCCAATAATCTCAGCCCCTTTAATTCAGTACAAAGGACTTGAACACTCCAGCTATTTCTGAGCTTCCTAGCATCACTGTCACTGTTTCTCTGTGAATTTACAGAGGTATGTGGTAACTCAGGGAGATACAAAGTGTCTAAGTGTCTTCATTCTGTCAGAGCTGGGTTTGACAGGAGAGGACCATCTTCAGCTCTCCTCTTCCATCCACACTTTGGGATCTCAGGCTTGCTCTGTTGACCCAGAAGGGTCAATGACTCAATACCTCATGCTTTATTGTATATATATCTTAAATCCTTTCCCTCAGCACTTCAGCCTACCAGCTTCTTTCACTATCTGGTTTTATAGCTGCTTTAGATGACACACAACCACAAGACAACCAAATGTGATTGGGAATCAGCATCAAAATTCCACAAAATACGCTAAAGAACCAAGAGTCCTGCAGTGCTTAGGCAGCTGGAGGCAATTCTGAATAGCAGCAAATGTCTCCACACGAATCTGTGAAGATCTCCATGTAACCAATGCAGATGTGCAGTTACTACCATGGCATTCATGCTGACATTGCTCTTGCCCAGTCTCTACAGAACATGACTGACCATCCTAAGCTGTCACTAAGGGAAAAATCAGGCAAAGACACAGCTTCTGTCTGGGTTTTGATAAAAATGAACCAAACATACTTGGCTTCTCTCTTGGCTGCACTGGTTCAGCTCTCTTTTGTACAAATAAAGTCATGATGCAGGAGAAATGTCAGCACAGCTCAGCCCCTGCCAAGCCACCCCTCTGCAGCTCAGCATCAGCACCCTGAAGGACACACACAGCAGGACAGGGAAACAGTGCAGGGTTATCCAGTGTCCCCTCCCTGACAGTGTCACCTCAGCCTGACAACACCTGAGTGTTTTGACTCAACTGGAGTTTCTGCACAGCCTCCATAGGAGAGGCCTGGGGTTTGCACAAACCTTGTGCCAGCCCTTGTGTGGCTCTGTCACTGACACAGGGAGTTCATTCTTTGAGCATTCCCACATCTAAAGCTGGAATCAGAACCTTTCCACTGTTCACTGATGCTCAGCTGGACTTGTGACATCTCTCTTGCCCTCAAGAGCCTACTCTGACAGTGCATTAATGCTGCTGCACAGGCTTGGCCTTTCTGACTTCCACACTTGGGGACCTGCAGCAACCAGTAACAATATTTAGAAGTTGCTTTACATGATTCATGTTTCTGTCCTATGAATGCATCTTTTGCAGACTTTCCTCTCCAAATCAGCACATTTATCATGAAGTGGTGATAGCAGTGAAGTCTTGCACCTGATGAGACAATCTGTACAGGTTTTTGGGTCCTTATACATACAGCATTTTTAACACAAGATATAATGTAATTTGCTTTACAGTCAGGAGATGATTTGTTTGTCCTGAACACAAATTACAGGCATAAATGCCTCAGTTACAAGTACTGATGTTTATTCTGTTTCCAAAAATAAAGCTCTAGTATTTATATAAATTCTTGGATTTGTCCCCTGAGATTGATGTCCCAGTAGTTTAGGAACACCATGATCCCCAAATACATGCCATTCATCTAGATGAGAAACAAACCCACTGGTTGTGATGGTCTAGAAGTAAATGGTGGAGCACTGGGAAAGTAATATATGGGGTGAGGAACAACCCAGGAAGCCCTGAGAAAAGCAGGAGCAAAGGCTTTCTGAGAATGGGCTGCCTACAATCTTTACTAGGTGAGAAATGCACGTCTCAGCTGCTGAAGGTACAGGGAATGTTGGTTTATAACACACTGCAGATAAGAACACTGCCATTAAGACCCTCATCCTTTTAATCATGGACCAAATTGATCCCAGTGACACCCTAAATTCCATCTTGGGTCTGTTCTTCTCCTGAACAGTGATTTTTCTCTTTGGTGGGTAACCTCACTGTCAGGCCCTGGCAGACACACCTATCCCCAGTAAAGCCTGTTTAACATTTCTCCTCCAGGCAGGCTTTTTCTTGAATTGTTGTTGCACATTTCAAGTGGCTGAAGTCACTTGGCCCCCAGCCAGCACAAGTCTAAAAACAGACTGCAATAACCCCAAGAGTGTTCTGCCTGTCCTGCTCCAGCCTTGAGCTTTCCTACAAGAAACATCACAAGATAAATTCTCGCTCCTTATCTTGTAATTCATTCTTTGCTTTGTGCAGCGCCAGTGGCTCCAAATCCCACCCAGTGTGGAAGTCCCAGGTGTTCCTACCCTGACATGAAACCCACTCCTGACTTAAAGCATCTCAAGGGTCTCTAGACTGCTTGAGCCAAAGATTTCCATCTCGCTCAGGAGAATCTCCTCCTCCACTGTGGCTGAGTGCCCTGAGGGGCAGTGAATCACAACAGCATCACTCCTAAATCCAGGGCTTCTATGGGGCAGGAGCACAGAGCTGCTGCAGCTACACAGCCCACCACAGATGATACAAAAAGAGATCCCCTTTTGCAGGTCAGCTTTTCACACTCAACCAAACTGCTTCCAATCCTTGCAGCAGTGCAGAGCATCCCACTGAACAGTGCAGCCACTGCATTCAGCCAGTGGATTCAAGGGTTCCATGGACACACTCAGCAGCTCTATTTTAACTTATTATGTTAAGCAAGAAAAGCAAGGAGGTCTTTTCCTCCTGCTAGTCCCGCTCAGAAAACAAAACCATCCTCCCACAGTGCTCCTCACCTGGGGTGATGAAGGCATTCTTTACCACTAAGGACACTGTTTCAAGCTTCGGAGCAGGCACTATTTTTTGTGACTGTTTGGGCCTCGTCCCAGCACTGGCCAGAGGAACAGGTTTGGGGAGTGCAAATGTCAGCTGGGACTGCAGCTGGGGCCGGGGCTGCCCCTGCACAACAGCAGTCTGGAAGGCCAGGTTACAAGGCACTCCTGCCCCCGGCTGCTGCGTGGCCAGGACCAGGCTCTGGCTCTGGCTCTGGCTGAAGGTGGTGGCAGGGGCGTTGTGGGTCAGCGTGGCAGAGGCCGTGTGAGTGATGACCGAGGATTCGCAGAGGCCGAACTTGGGCGTTTCTGGAGCGGCGAAGGCGGCGGGGGCGGGGCTCAGGCTGGAGCCGAGCGGCACCGCGGGCAGCGGGGGCGGCTGCGGGGCGCCCGCGGGCTGCAGCAGCGGCAGCGGCGGCTGGAACACCGACATGAAAGTTTGTGGCCCGCTGAGAGATGTGTCAGGAGGGAAGTCTGCAGGCTGGATGAAAGATCCTCCACTTCTAATGCTGGAGCACTGGTCAGCAACGACGTCAGGAATGCCAGGAGCAGGTACTGAGGAAGGAATCAGTCCATCGCTGATGTTCCCTGCCGGGAGCGTGCTGGGCAGCGAACCCGACGGCAGGACAGGAGACTGAGAGAAGGAAATATCACTGACTCAGACATGCCTGAACTCCTCCTGAGGGCACAGGGCTCATGGCAGAGCCTTCTGTTTGAAACCTCTCTTACCTGGGACGAGTGGCTGCTGCTGTCTGTGGTAGCTGAGCTGACAGCAGACACGGAAGGGAAATAATTACTGGAGCGACTGGGAGTGAATAATTCTGAAATATGAAAAGCCACCTATTAATTTTCTGCTTTTCATACTTGAGATACAGCATTGCTAGATCTTAAAATCCACAGGAATATCAGTATTATTTAGCAAATAATGAAACCATGAGCTTTTTGCTTCATACAACTGCTGTTGACTGAGCAGTGAATTCTGTCTTCAGAGGAACTGATCTCTTTGGGGCTGACTCCTTCAACTTTCATGGAAACTGGGACAATGCAAAAATCAGTCCTGTTAAAGGTTCATCTAAACACAGACAGCCAAGAGCCGATCCTCAGTGACTCCCATAAAGTACAGTTATGTGATGCAGACTGCTTGCAGAGCCAGCAAATAGACATCACTCTTTACTTCCATGAGGATCCATAACCATCAAAGTTGTCAGCAGTAGTTCAGTGTTATATGGAATTCTTGACAGTGCCATAAAACATTCAAAGACAAACAAAATGTTAAATGTCTTTATCACTAAGAAGTGTGAAATGCGGAAACCTTAAATGTATGTAATACTTAAAGTTTTATTTAAAACCTAGTTCATAAATCACTGCAATATTTAAGAAATTAGTGAACTCTTTATGATTCTTACCCTGAAAAGGTTCAAAAGTATCCATAAAATCAAAATTTGGCTGGAGAGGAATAAGCCCTGGTTGAATCATGTCAGCATTTCCTAAGTGTCCTGCAAAATTGAGGAGACAGATTAGATTAGCTTCCCATCACTCACATAATTACAGCAGCAGGAATAAAACACTCCACAGCCAGGCTTGGCCAAGATGTTACAGAAAAACTGCTGCTGAAAGGAACTGAAAATCTGCTTCTTTTCAGAGCTACAGCACAATCCAGATATCAAAGCCATTGAGGAATGAAACTTTCAATTGCTAAAATGGAAGGGGTGAAACCTGAAGGCTCTAATTGAGCTGCACTACACAAAACCTTGCTGGAAAGCACAGCCTGATCCACCACAGCTCATAACAGAGTATTTTAAAATAAACCATCACCCATTTCATTTGCCTTGAGTACAATTAATGTAAACCATGGCTGCTCTGGAGTTGCTCAGACATCCCTGCAGCAAGGATGGTGAACAGAGGACGTGTGCTGTCCCATCAGACAGTCAGAGCCTCCAGAGAAAGTTGAATAGCTCTTGGGATTGTTTGTACAGATGAAACTTGCACTGATTCTTCCAGACAAAGCCAAACAAAAATACACAGGCACTCCCTTAAAAATACACACACAACTATGCTTTGAGATAAATCCCAATGTCTTCACCACTGATAAAGTAAATACTGCTCATTACAGATTTATTCAGAGCAACATCAGGGGGCAAAGCTGGGAGCAGCACAGAAGAAGCTAAGACAGAAATTAAATTTGGATCATTAATTCTATATGGATATAGATTCTATAACCTACAGAATCATAAGACAGCTACATCCCCTGACCTGTTTTTATCTGTATCAGCAATATAAGATCGATTTCTTAGGCACGCTACAAGAGCAGCAAACCAGAGTGTTTTTAGGGGTTCTCACTGCAGCACAGCTACAGCCAATAAATACCTATGTCCCTGGAGTTTGGCCAGGAAACCAGCTGATGTGAAGAGAGTGTGGAGAACAGGGTGTCGGTGAACTCGGACATGAGCATGTCTGCATCCAACAGGCTGCCCTCCTCCATGGGCACAGGGGTTTCTCTGCCATACCTTCTTTTTTGCCACAGAACCACATCATCATCCTGCCAAAGGAAAGGAGGAGAGGTCAGGCTGCCTAGCAATGCCAAAGCAGTCTGGTGCATATCTGTAAAAGCAGCCCTCGTTTTTCACATTTTTAAAGGAAGAACCTCTCTTTGAGGAGCCTGAAATACTTCAGTGGTGCTTCTGATAAATCAGCAACTTCAGCTCACTGAAATACCACAACACTCTGGGAAAGATTTTTGCCCAAAACCCAGATAATGACTAGAAGGACACAAGACAAATAACAACACTTCCTTGTTTGATTGATTACACAATTTTTGCACCCAGTTTAACAATCCCTTGATTTGAACAAAGATTAAAAATAACACGACTAGCAAGAATGCAAAAAACAACTCCTGTCTTGTGAGATGTATTTGAAACTCTGACTCGCAGTGAAGTGTAATTGTACTCCAAGTTTGCACAAGACACTTTTGCCCATGAAAAATACAACACAATGTGACTTGGCTTAGCCATCCTCACTGCAGACTGAGTTAAACTGCACTGCCTTGCAAAAACAGCAGAACAGTGCTTCTGATAACCCAAAGTAGGTTTGATAGTTTAAGGGGACATACCACTGTCCCTTTAACCATCTTGTCCCTTTATAGGATCCTGGCATATTATCTGCCTGAGCTGTGGGCACAGCAGGAAGATCTGCAAAACACAGCTCCCACATCTTCACAGATCCAGTTACACAAGCAAAGCAGCAGTGCCAGTTACAACTCAGTAACAAGATGAAATCATGTGCCAGCCCTCAAAGAGATTGATCTCTCTGGGCATGCAATGCTGATTCCCATTTCTTCTGTCACAGCACTTTACATTCAACCTCTCCTCCATCCAATTCAAGCTACAAATCTCACATTGCTCTCTGAGGCCCAGAACATTAAGGTGTCTAACCTTAATTAAGGCTTAAGCAAGATTTTAGATTGCTCGTTTTTAGATTGCAATCAAAGCAAGCTACTGCATGTTACAGCTTTGTTATCTGCTCTGGGTTCTACAAGCATAAATATTGCCACTTCTCAGTGGTGTTACCTACCCTGACCAAACTTGAAAGATCTTCATCTTTGTGTTTCTGTAACTGCAAAAGGAGAACAGAACAGATGGTGAAGTCAGAATAAGTCCTGTATGTGCCAATGGAACACCTGATTTTGCAAAACTTTTAAGACCCAATCATGCACAATCAGTCCCAGCACAATAATTTTTAGTTAAGTGGAACTAATTAGAGAGCATGTCTGTACCAGCTTATTTATCATCTGTTTTAAGTACTCTTGCATGCCAGAAAAACTGATAGAAAAACTCAAAAAGCAACAACATGCTGATCAAGCCAAGCAAACTACTTTCACTATGTAAACCAACAGACCCTTTTCTTGAAGTATGTTCTCCACTTGTGGTATTCCCTAATGACTATTTCAATTCTTCGTTTCCAGTATTTCCCCTCTGTTGCAATGGCCTGGGAACACAAACACATACCATGAATTACACGGAATCACACAAGGGCAGAATATTCAATACATTTCCAAGCAAATATTCAGGCATAAAAAATGCAAAAGAAAGCATGCTGATTCTGTTTGAGCTCATGTATCAGCAGCCCACACTGTCCCAGAGTTCAGCTATCACAGAGCAAATCTGACAGTACTAACTTCATCTTTCCCACAAAAACCAAACACGAGGTGACATCTGACTGCACTGTCAGCATCTCCCACAGCAGCTCAACCATAAACAAGAGTTAAGAAATGGCAAAAAAACCCCCCTTAAAAATTAATTTACTGAAATATAATGTATAAAGCACACAATATCCTGTGAATTTCATAAGATCACATGCACAGACACACACATAAGCAAAAGCTGCTATGAATGACACAAAGCAATAGAAATCTGATGTCCAGCTCAGGGGGGACCTTGCAGGCCACACACTGATGGCAACAAAAGGATCACACGATATGGGTCTTCAATGTATCACAGAGAGCAGTGTGTAAGTTGGGGAGAGCAGACTAATGAGAGCCTTAACTTTGTGTTCGAGGGTCACTTTCAACACAAACATCAAGACTGTTCTTTCAAAAACCTGAGACAGTTCCACAAATTCATCTGGAACTCCTCTGAGTTATAAATTACTCTAGAGTTATGCAGTATAGAGAGAGCCACATATTGCCACATCAAGGGCCTCACTGGTTTTCTGCAAGGAGCCAGAGGGCAGATGTTAGTTTTCATTTATGTTTACAGGAGCACAAAAATGAAAGAACACAAACTCATATTTGATCTGTCTGTGAAACTACTTCGACACAGAAAAAGAAATTGCTTGTTCTCTTGAAACCACACCTCTCAAATTACATAAAATACAGAAACTCTCCCAGGGTCACTTAGATTCAGTCCTGAAAATAGTCATCACTCTGATTTCCCACTGACTTCCAGTCAGAAGACAGCAGTGGCTGTCAAAATCTTAACTATTCAAATAGCACTTCTGTGATTTATGATTCATTAAATTACAACATTAACATAAGTTACACAGATAACAAATGTCCTTCTGCTTGCACCTTGATCATCCTAATGTGATGAACTCACAAAACCGGGTTCACTCTGCTTTTAATGGTTCCTTCTAAATCACACCAGAGCACAGATTTGCTATGCTGCCCTTGTTCCTAGCAGACCAGAAAATCCTGTTCCAAACTCCAGAGCTCCTGGGCTGCTCCCAGGCTTTCCCACACACCTCTGGCCGCCGGTGCTCATCGACGTCCATGGAGCCGTCCAGAGGGGTGACAAAGTGGCACACGGGGTTCTTGCGCTTCTCCAGGTCTGAAACAACAACGGCAGAGTGGGTGCTGAGCACGGGCAGGGCCTGCAGGGCTGCCACTCCCGTGCCAGGTGTGACAGGGAGCTGGCCGGGGCTCCTTCCCGATGAACAACACAAACAGGGAGATCTCGGCTGTGCTCGGAGCACTCAGCACGTCCCCAATGTGGGCACAGCCAGGAAAGCCCTGATCCAAGGGCATTGCCTCTGGAACATCAGTCCTGAGCACATCCCCGAGCTTTTCACCACACAATCATTTCAATTCTCTTGCTCTCAGCGATGTCTCAGGGAATACCCGCCCCCAGCACGGTACTTACACTGCATGTACCAGGCCCTCCAGATGGCGTTATTGAGACGGATTTTATCTCTCCACTGAAGCTTCAATCCCTTAAAATTTTTCCATTTTGGTGAAACCAACCTTCCACTGCAACAAAACAGACAACAAATCATTCTGCTTTCAGTTTTTCTCTCTCTTCCTTTCAAGACAAAGCATCCCCCTAAGCCAGCAGAACTCTCAACAGATAAAACAACAACGAGCCATGCTTGGCCAGTCACAACTTTTACTGTCCATGGCACACTAAACCAGGAGCCAGAGATTAATCCAGTCCTTATGTGTCCTCCATAAGAACCAAGGACTGTCCCAACTGGTCTCAAGAATATCAGCAGGAATGAAATTAATTTCACCCACACTTTTCTCTTTGCCAGTATCTCACCTTCTCTAACCCCCACCTATGAGCTTCCACCAACTGGGATTGAATTATTTAAAATTAAGAGGCTTCTGAATGTTTGGTCAGATACAGTTCCATTCGATTTTTCAGGCTGGTAACACTGGAAAGGAGGAATGAAATGCCAGTTCTGGCCCATGAAAAAATATAATCCACCAATTCTACACTGCTGGTAATCAGAGCTGGGCACAAAGGAGTACCAGTAACTTTTCTCCAAGGAAAGGCAAGGCTGGAAAAAGAAATGGTTTATGCATGAATGCTCCTGGGAGGTGGAAGGGACATGGAAGGAAAAAGGAAGAAGCAGCAGGGACTCTAGTAAGCACTGGATAAACACAAACTCCCTAGCCCTTAAAACACACCTTTATGAATCATTAATCCATACTACTGACAAGGCAGAGGAAGTAGGAAATACTCATAACACAGTAAATTTCAAGCTAGAGATTAAAGTATAGGAACTGTGCCTATCCCAGGTTTTCCCTCTTGTTTTGGGGGATTTTAGCCCCACATCTTTCAAGTTTATGTCTCCTGTGCTGTTTGTGCAACCTTGCTATGAGGGAATTGGACCAGCAATACCAATTGCAACCTACACAGGAAACAGGTTCACCTTGGCACACCACGAGCATCAGGGCAAGGGGTGATGGACAGGGAGGAGTGGCAGGAGTGGCAATGTCACCAACACACACTCTGCCCCCTCAGAGAGGTCCCTGAGCACATGGCCAGTCAGGAATGGTCTCTGCCATGACCTGCAGTGGCACTGGGCGTACCAGCACAGACAGTGCCCTGGCACGGGCCATCTGCCTCACACACTCAGCACAAATGAACTCAGAGAGGGATTATTTATCCTTAAAAGCTCATTTCACATTTAAGCTCTAAAATCGCTGTGCAAATAGAAGCACATCCTACAGAAGTGCAAGGCACTTCCCTTGGCTCAGCAAAGCCCATGCACAGAGCCTGAGGGTGGAGAACTGATAATTCCCAGTTTCCTATTTGGTCTGGGAAACCTCCCTCCCAACAGCAGCTCTTTTTAAAGAAAGCTTTTAATAAAACTTGCAAGACTAAAACCAAGTAAAAAGTCCTTAGCCTAAACAAAAGCCACCAGAATGCCTGAGCTGCCAATAACAGGATATTAAACTAACATTTTTTTCAGGTATTTGGCTCACCATTTCTTTCCTCCCTTGCTGACACCACAACTGCTCTCACACTCAGGTACTCCCACAACTCTGACAGTAACAGAGGAGCAAATGCCAGGCTTCAGCCAAGAGATAGGTAATGAAAATCAGCTCTGCTCTTTCAATTTTACTTCTATATAAAATGTCAGTTGTGGCAACAGGTTGTAGCAATGCATCAGTAGATGAGTTGTTGCCTGATTTTAACTCCTCGTCCTCTTTAAAAATAAACGGCAATGTTCTTGTAGGCACAAGGAAGCAGAGACTGGGTATGAACTGCACTAAAAGGATAATTCCCAGCAGCAAGGGAACAGGTAAGTGACCAAGCTGTGAGCCCTGTCCATGCCCAGCTGCCCCTTTGGGGGTTAGGCTGTACACTGGACTATGCTACAAGGCTCTGCTGCAGCCTGTGGGACGTTGGTGCTTGATAAAAATAAACAAAATTTGGTACACAAAATAGAACATGAGCACCTCCAAGACTTGCTGGAGCAAGCAACTTCACTGACTGGGAAAAATCATTGTTAATGTACTTGCGCTGTCACTGGGCTTTAAGGCACTCAGCACCGCCTGTATGGTCACAGATATTTAGGAAATCCTCCTGGATTATTTCTTTTCAGTGGTGCATCCATATGCCACTCTGAAATACTATCATCCAAGACTCCACTTCTAAATTTCAAGATTTTTAGTTAATGGAAAGATCTCCAACTAATTCATGTCACTGTTACCCAGCCCATGTGTCAGGGCAGAGTGGATCTCACACATTTAATATTTCTCCCATCACTGCAAACTACCCCAACACCTTTGGTGTTCACTGCACAGCAGCTCTGCCCCAGAACCACTGCACACCTTCTCTTCCCTTCCAAACCCAGACTAAATCCATCTTTTCCTGTTTCTCATCTGTACATTAACAGTCTGGAGACAGGAGATGAACGTGCTGATGCATCACCAGCACTGACAAAGTGCCCACATGCCTTTGACTAAGAAATCTGTCAACTTCATGTTCATCTCTTCACAGCTCTGTGTGACTCGACAGTTTGCCAAAGCAACTAAACTCTAATAATCTGCACTCAGAATAACAAGAGCAAATGCTTTTCTATAAAAAGACTAAAAGGAACTGTAATCAAGTCTGGTACACTCCTTGCATCTTCAAAGAGCTAATTAAAATTGGAATTAAAACATAAATAGTTTAAAATATTTTCAATTACATTCTTAGAAAATGCTAAACAAGACTAGTACATCAAAAGAAGGAAGTGATTAAGAACCTATTCTTAAAATAATTATTATTTTTAGTTCCCATGGGAGCAAAACACAAGTCCAGCTTGAGGTCATAAGTGAAATGACTTCAGCCTCAGTGAAGAGTAATCAGCATGAAGCTGACAACAATATTTAGACACTATTCCAAATTCCAAAGTCAATGGAAAGTCAATTACTTTGAACAGCACTGTGACTGAGAGCAGCTGCCTAACCGAAAGCAGTCTTCACATTTTAAAGCAGCAAAACAACAACAAGGAAAAAACCCAAACAACTGGAGCGACCATGTGGCTGCTGCTCCTGCAGGTTCTGTAAGACCACACCAACTCCTACAGCAAATGTGGAGCAACTCCCAACAGGTGGATGGTCAGCATGAACCTGCAGCACAACCCAGGAGCACAGCCTGGTCCTGGCCCCTCTCCAGTGCTGCTGCAGCTCTGCAGGGATGCTGCTCCCAACACCCAGGGATGCTGCTGCCAACAAGGGGAGCAGGAGAACATCCCAAGGGAGAACTGGGCCCCGCAGTGCATGGTACGAGCCAGGACAGCTGCACCCACAGCCTGTGGGAATGCTGGTGCTGCACAGGGAGCCAAGCCCTGGGTGAATCCTGCAGGGGATGCTGCTGCCAGCAGCTCAGCTCATGTAAGCAAGGCTGAAGAATCGGTGACTTTCATGTTCTCCTCACTATCACACACAGATCAAATCAAATGTTGATGGGTGACTTGCACTGCATTCCAGCAGCTCAGCTCAGTCTCCCATGTAGAAATCTCCACCTCCCAGGTCTAAATGTCCTCATCAAGTGATATGATCACAGCAAACCAGCCAAAAGAGCTTCAGCTCAGCAGCCAACAGAGCTGGAAATCCCCTTGGACACAGCAGGCCCAAGGTGCTTTGGAGGAGTCCTGGGGCTGTCACAGGAGAGGCACCCGAGGCTGCCACTGCAGTCCATTCCCAAGGTTTTCTACATGAATTTCCCCAGCTCAGGAACTAAACTACACCTTGGAACTGAGATCCAAGCAGGCAGGCAGATAACAGGCACTGATCTCTCACAACTCTCCATTTCTAAAACTCCAGTGAAAGCAGCTGTGTTTTAAAACAATTACAAACCTTCAAACATCACACAATTTGCAGCAAAGTACAAGAAAAAGACATCCACTGTGAGAGTGTGACCTGATTCCCTTCAACACCTTTGATTTCTAAATTTTTCTTCAATCAACTGAAATGTAATTAGGGAGCAGGTTTGTATTCTAACAGTACCCTGACAGGATCCATTTACAAGCCAAGTTTTGTCTCTGAGAATCTCATTGTTTTGTTCTAGGTTAATAACATTCAGTTAAAGATCTCACAGGTAGAGACAGGGCAAAGGTGTGACCCTCCTTCTTAACAGATACACACGAGATGCCATTCACTGCTGCAAAACTGAAACCAGTAGCCCTCCCTAGCACTGAAACAACATCCAATTAATAAACTCAATGCAGAACTCCCTCCAACATCTGTAGAAGCAGGATCAAGTTCTGACATGAGATGACTCACAACAGAAGAATCCCCTGTTCTCCTCCCTTAATCAGAGGATTTTAAGATGGACTTCAGTCAGCATAAATCCACACAACACAAGCACCCTCTGGATTGGGGCAGAAAGGCACATTTATCTGCATGCAAACCCAGAAGAAATTTAGGGATTTTTCATTACTTATTAGCATTAACAAACACCAGCATTTTATGAAACTGCTTTCTACAAAGAACACTGAAGGGGCAGAGAAGTAGACTTTAAAATATTAACATAAATTCCATATATCCTCCACTTAACAGGTAATTTGAATACATGTTGATTAAATGGAAACTATATGGTATAGCATGG